CAGAAATTCCACACCTTGATACAACCTAGGGAATTCATGTGCATTTGCTAACATAAAGGAGAAAAGGGGAAGGAAGTGGAGATGATGTGATTGCTGGATGGAGGACATAAGCCAAAGAATGAAAACAGCCTCTACAAGCAGGAAATAGCAGGGAAATACATCCATTCCTAAGAACCTCTAGCAGGAACAAACTTTGCCCGAGATTCATTTTGGAATTCAGACCTCCAGAATGGTAAGATAATAAATTTGTGTGGTTTTAAGTCACTAAGTTTGTGATAACTTATTACAACAACAAACTAATACAGAAAGTAGAATTGTTTATAAAAACCTATCCTATGCAAAAACATAATCATTATCAATTGCAAAAAAAAAATCAAAAGAAATTCAAAAGAAAAAATCAAATTAGTGAAGCATAATTGTGACACAGATGACAGAGGCTCGTTTCTCTCATATACTGAGTGTTTGTAAACCAGTATTAAAGAGATCAGCAGCCCAATGGAAAACCAGGAAAAAGCAAATAAATATTCCAAATAAAAAGAAATACAAATACTCAGTATCTCTCCCCCAGGCCCACCCCATGAAGTGATGCTAATTGTATTCACATCAGAAAAATGTTCTTGACTGGGCGCAGTGGTTCATGCCTATAATCCCAGCACTTTGGGAGGCAGAGTCAAGCAGATCACTTGAAGTCAGGAGTTCGAGATCAGCCTGACCAATATGGTTGAAACCCCATCTCTATTAAAAGTACAAAAAGCTAGCTGGACGTGGTGGCACATGCCTGTAATCCCAGCTACTCAAGAGGCTGAGGCAGGAGAATCACTTGAACCCAGGAGGTGGAGGTTGCGTTATGCCGAGATTGCCCCACTGCACTCCAGCCTGGGTGACAGAGGGAAACTCTGTCTCAACAAAAGAAAAATGTTCTTATTTATGTGGCACCATTTCTTCCTGGGTCACCCAGAGGGCCAGGTGATTACCCTGACTCAATAATTCTTCAGCCTGCCTCCCCAGAATTACCTAAAGACTCCATTAAGAATGAATAATTCTAGATCTCATCCCCAGGGATTCTGACTCACTAAATTTGGGGCCAGGAGATCTGTATTTTCTACATAATTGCCTAAGAAATATATTTCAAAAAGTACTGCCCAACTTTTGACCTTCCTATTCCTGGAGCTGACCACATTCCAGAGTCAAGGCTGCAGATATATAACTAACAGCATCAAAGGTTAACCATGTCCACGTTACAACTTTGCCATAAGAGGGGCACTGCTAGCGTCTCTGAAGAAGCCAGGGTGGCATATAAGCAATTATCACACTGTTGAATGGCTGCCACTGTAGTCATCAGGAGGCAGGAGGCAAACTAAGATGATATTTCCAAGATAAGCATATAGCAAGTATGCAATAAGTATGTAAGTAATATGCTTTTTTAAATATAGAGCTAGAAGCCATACTGTTCAGTCTTCACTTACTTGGAATACAACAACGAACCAATACAGAAAGCAGAATTGTTTATAAAAACCTATCTGTGGAGTCACAGAGATAATCAACAAGGCATCTCTGTCAGGATGTAGGTATGATTTTAGGGTGTAAACTAACATCATCTTTATGGAATTAACATATAACTCTCAGGAAACTGACATTTAATCTCTATAATTTCTAACACCCACTAAATAACCTGGTTGGCCAGCTCCTTGTTGCAATGCATAAGTTGCCTTTAATGAGGGGACTGGATGTTTATCTTCAGTGTGGCAGATGAACAGACGTATTCACAGCAATGACTCTAGGTCAAAACCTTGACAAACCTTGTTTACCTTTTGTCTACCCCTCCCCAGGCCCAGGTTAATGAAAACCCTTGGCTTGCATCCGCTCTGGAAACAACTTATGCTGCATTTGACAAACATATTTTAGGACCATAAGTATTTTTAAAATTTCCTTTCCCTTAACTCCTGCTTTCAAGAAATAGAATTGTCCTTGGCTATTTAAATGATATCCAGTAGTAACACTAGACTAAAATAATTTAATAGAAAAGTTTGCCCTAAGGTCACTTTGTAATATCTCTGTATAAATTACTTTTTTTCGAAGAGAACTTGTATTGGCACATATTGAATTTCCTGCTTTCTGTGGCATTGATTTGAAAAGTAGAGGTGTTAAAGCTCTCACTGTGTTCTACACAGATGTAATGTGAAGGATAAAAATGCCTTCCCACTTTGTACAATACTACAGAAGCATAAGAACAATAATTAAATATCAAAAGCATCCCTAAAAATCAATGTACAGTTTCATTCTAAGCAAATGAAATGTCATTGGTTTAGCATCAAAAATAAATACTATAAATAATTTGCTAAAAAATATTCGGCTCATAGAACCAACAGTTCAGTAAACTCTAAAGTACAGAAAGGTTTTTTTTTTTTTTAAAGCTAATAGTGTTTAACCATCAATTATTTTGCCTTCACATATGTAGCTACTACTGAAAAGTGACTTGGTATTTTTATAAACTATGAAGGAGGAGATGGAATTCTTGCCTATCTTTGGCCCTAATAAACTGCACAGCCTCTCTGGATTTTCACTATAACATGGGTAAGAGAAGGAAGAGAGGAGAGATTGGATTATATGAGCTCTGTGGGATCTTTAAGCATTAACATTTTATGCTCTGTTTCTGTAATGACTGATACTCTTCAAGAGAAACAGAAGTAGTTACTCTTTATCTACATAAGTTTTGTCTTTGGGAATTCCACTGTAAAATCATCCCCTGCCAGGCACAGTAGCTCACATCTGTAATCCTAGCACTTTGGGAGGTCAAGGGAGGAGGATCACTTAATCCCAAGAGTTTGAGATCAGCCTGGACAATATAGCCAGACCTCATCGCTACAAAAACGTTTAAAAATTAGCCAAATGTGATACACTTGGCTAATTTTTAAACGTTTTTGTAGCGATGTAAACTCTCAAGTAAACTGAGATAGTTGAGAGGCTGAGGTGGGAGGATCACATGAACCCAGGAGGCAGAGGTTGCCATGAGCTGTGATCAGACCACTATTGCACTCCAGCCTGAGAAACAGAAAGACTCTGTCTCAAAAAAAAAAAAAAAAAAAATTCCCACAACTATCCAAGGAGTAAATAGAAATGAAATGATGGGGCTTCAGGGAGTTACCCCTTAGTTATTGAATAATTTTTAAAATATGCTCATGATTATAATCTGGATTCAAATTCTGGGTACCACTGAATTTAGGAGTTTCAAATGGAGAAAGCTAGAGGTAGCCACATATATGATCTAGTACCTATTTCTATTGCTTCCTGTTTCTTTTCTTTAAAATTTATCCTACAAATAGCAGTTAAGTAGACAGAAAATCTTTGTGTGTGTGATGGAGTTTCACTCTTGTTGCCCAGGCTGGAGTGCAGTGGCACAATCTCGGCTCACTGCAACCTCCACCTCCCAGGTGCAAGTGATTCTCCTGCCGCAGCCTCCTGAGTAGCCAGGATTATAGTCACCTGTCACACACCGGGCTAATTTGTGTGTGTTTTTAGTAGAGACGGGGTTTCACCATGTTGGCCAGGCTTGGTCTCGGACTCCTGACCTCAGGTGATCCACCCTCCTCGGCCTTCCAAAGTGCTAGGATTACAGTCATGAGCCACTGCGCCCAGCTGATAGAAAATCTTACATTTCAGAATAAATCATCTATAGTGTAAACAAAATGTGGAAACCTTTGTGAAATATCTCCTTCAAACACAAACAATAGATAACAACGTTGTTTTTCTCTTGTGAAAAACGATGTCACATAAGGATAGACTTGCTTCATTAACTCTCTTAGGCAAATCAAATTATCTAATTCAAAATGACATGAAATAATGCAAAAATAAATTTCTTTCTCTGGATTCCAAAAATGTTAAAACTACTTTTCTCAAAGACTAAGCACTACGTAGAATACATTCTATTACCAGGGCCGATCTTGTTTCTGACTTACAGCGATGGGGTAATGAAGACAAGAGGCAGTCTCCCTTTGAAATTCTCCAACCAACATGTATTATCTATCAATCGGAGACAGTTAGCTGTATTTTCTTTTAAGTTTATTGATGCTGCTGCCAGCCTGCAATTTTTGTATCAGGAGACTTTATACTCTATTTCAAACCCATTCTAACAAAGGAAAAGGGGACATTAAAAAAATATGAAGGGAATAATATCCAGATCCCATTCTGGGCTTTTTTCCTTTAAATTCTCATGTTTCCAACTTCAGTTTCTCCTTAATTCATATTTGTGATTGTTTAAAAGGTGTTCTTCCCCACATTATGTACTTTTTAATCGATGATAATACCATGAGATATGAGAATGTTATTTAGTAGTTACTTTAAAATGATTTTGTAGATATCATATCATAGAGGTTTGACTGAATAATCAAGAAAGAAAATGCCAAAGTATGGAAACAAACAAGCTGGTACTAGTTAAATCGGAGTTTCTTCACCTTAACTTTGTTATTTTAGAACGTCTTTAAAATTGAGAGTGCAGTTCAACCACGAGGCATTTTAAAGAGAGAAGCAGGAATCAACTAAATTGAGATGAGCTTCGTTATTCTATCTTTCTTCCTATACCATACTTGAGGCCTGATGGCTTTCAACAATGGCTTCTGCTAAAAGTATCATTCCTTGAAGTTGGTTCTGTAGTGGACACCTGTGTGTATGTGTTGTCAGTATATGTAATTTTGCTTTTACAATGTTGGCAATAAGAAGAAGGCTTCTAATTTTATTCAGCATGATGATAGGCCCTAGCATTTTAATTATTTTTTATGTTGTGAGTAATTTATTATTCATTGGCTATCTTCCCTGTAAATCTCGTCCTCACTCTGTAAGGTTTTCCTTTGGTGTCCAACAAAGGGTTTCATTGCAATAAGAATCAAGGTGTGTCTAAATTCTTACCCAGAGCCTAAACAATGCCAGTCTTCCAGACCAGCCTGAGAGTTTGGGGTGGGGAAACAGAGTCATTATAGAGTATCTTCATCTCTCTGCCCAGAGAGCACCAGAGTTATCACCCATGCCCTCCTAAAAGGGCGTCTCAAAGCACATCTTGCTGTAGAGCGGAATTCAGGACCCAGAAGACGAGGGCTCAAATTGAATCTCACAGGATTTGTGTACAAGAGAAACTAAAGGAATGGATTGGCTCTTCTTCAGAAACATTTGCCTTTTGATCATTCTAATGGTAAGTAAAATTTAAAGACGTGGGAAGGAAATGCAGCCTCAAGGTTTTGCCTCTGTCAGCTGTTGGACTTTCTACATGGAATTTATTCCATTTTTAATCCCCTTCCTGGAAAGAGAGTTCTAGGAGTCCAGCCTCTGTTCATTTCCAACAACTCTCCGAGCCTGGAGGGACCAAATGCCATAGGGAAGTAGAGTGAGAATCTGGCTGAATTAAATTTATATGTCCTCAGAGACATAATCTACTTCACTTTAAGTGCTAGGACAATTCTAAAATTTTAACTTGGAAATAAAATTTATATTCTATGATCATATAAGTAAATCAGATAGATTGCTGTGAAAACTTCCAGTGCAAATTAGTTCTAAATTTGAAGGGAAGTGAATCAAGCCCATTTCCTTTCAATAGTTATTTCCCTTTGAATTTCTTTCAAAGTGGACGAATGATACATTGAAATTACACTGCAACTAATAATAAAATATTTAAGTCATGAGAATTTTTTTCAGTCAGATACTGCTAAAGAAAATTGAAGCTCAGCCATCAGGACAAACCTTTTCTGGAATTATTAATGCATTCCTACAGACCAGTAAAGAAATATTTAAATGATCTATTTCTTTACAGTAAACATGGCATTTTGGATATTATATTGCTTTCCTCTAAGCTTTGGGTGCCCAAGGTGTAACGTGACTTCCAGACAGGCAGCATGCATAGCAAGTATCCTACCCTAGCAAGAGAGAATTCCAAGTCCAAAGAAGAGCAAAGTTCCAGTTGGCCAATCACCAAACTACTGCCAATTCAATTAGAAAAGTTTATTTGAAGAATCAATTAAACTAGATTAGATTAGACTTAAGTCTACTGATGATTAAATGATAGAACAATTTAGTCCAAACAGCTGAGAAAAATAAGTGGAAAGGTAAGAGGACAGGATTATTAGGAAACTGTACAAATTTTTCAAAGTAAATTAAGACAAATGCACTACAGTTGGCCACACTTCAATCTCCCAGGAGTATCCACGTTGGTGCTACAACATAAGCTTGTAAAATGATCCCCATCCTATTCTTAGGCAAGTGGCAATTATACCAGACTCCTCTGGACATCAGTCTAAGAGACAGAAGGCAGCTACAGCTAGGAGAGATGGGAGCACATCATTGTCCAGTAGGCACAGTGAGAGGAGCTACTCTTCTGGAATTCACATTTCTAAACTTCAGCAGCAGTGCAGGAGCCAAACACTGCCAAAGGGCACACAACCCCAAGCTCAGAAGAGAACCTCAGAATGGTGGTAGAATACTGCATCCTCTGAGTTTAGGAGACAGATTATTAAACAAGACTATTTTTGAAAAATATTTTTAAACTTAAAAACACCGGACAGAAGGGCAATATTCTGTTACAATGATCGTTATTTATTTACTAAATAAAGTAAATGTCACTAAAAGAAGAGGCAAGAATCAGACTTGGTCCTCAATAGAAATAGTAAGTTACTAGGATATGCCTCTTGTTATAATTCTATGAGTATATTCATGCTTTGACTCAAATAAACTTTTGGTTTTCTGTAAGGAAAACTGTATGTGACAAGATTTTAGAGGCAACTTCTGAGCTCTAAATCTTGACTCCCATTGCCTTCTGCAGAGGCATGTTTTATGATAATATTAATTATTTAATTAAAGAGTTGATCTTCTTGATCTTGAAAGAGTATTATATTTCAGACTCTCGTGATCTTTTTTTGGTAGTATTCATTTATTTTCCCTGGTAATACTAGTGTTTTTGATACTTATTTCTCCTACTCCTCATTAATATTGAAGTCTTTGTGTTTGACATTTCATGGTAATTGTGAAAAAGTTACTTAAGTATTTTTTCTTTATGCATGTCTAACAGATACCTTACCATATCAATAATGTCTGAAGTTGAGAGGCAGAGACTTCTAGCATATTTCAAAATTGAAACAAATGCAAGGATTGTTTAAGAAGAATCTATATGATGTTACAGATACTATAGAAAAGTATTCATGCCTACTTGTCTTATTTTCCTGAACATAAACTCTGTCCTTCTTCATTAACTAAATCAAAGACTCTCTGGGGCATCACTGTAGCTTACACTAATGAGGGTGTGGCAGCTTCTCAGAGACTCACAGGTACTTTGTGTCAGCTATATCTCAACCACAAAGAGTGCTTTAAACAAAGTTCTGACTGGCTAACCAGTAGAAGGTACTCAAAACTCTGGGTTACGATAGGGCACTGATTTTACCACGAGTCATTTGGCATTTTGGTCCTAACACGATGCTCACCGTATTCTTCTCCTATAAAACAGATAGGGTGGTGAGGTACAATCAACAGTGGATCAAGACTAAGAAGTCCCAGGTTTGAATCAAGCTCCTCTTCAAAGCAGCTGTGTAACTTTGGCAAAAGCACCTAGCTTCTCAAAGCTTCCTTTTACCCCATATGAGACTACACAGTTAGACCTGATGATATTAAGTTGCTTCCACTATAGGAACTCTGCAATTCTAAAATTATCCCCACTGAATACTTAAGTAGTAGAAGTTCATTTCTGGCTCATAAATAGTTTTCATAACTTTGGCTAGAGAATCTGAAGATTTAGGTAATGCTATGGATTGTAAAGATTTTATTAGGAAGGAGTTACTTAAGGCACGACAGTTATTAGCTGGAAGAGGCCTATATTATATCAAGTTGATAAGATAAGAGAAGACAATCATCTATCAGATAATATGTGGCCATTCATGCTACATATAAGATGTAAACACTTCCATTAAATAGCCTGATTCTCGAAAGTAAAGAAGGTAGGTGGTTATAAATGTAGCTGTTATCTCATTGCAAGTTGAAAGCAGGCATCAAAATTTGAGAACATATTTAAAACTTACTTAGCCACTTATCTATTCAGCTCTCACATGCACTCAAATATGTTATTCTGAAGTGTCGAACAGAAATTTGCTTTTATTTGCTTGTCAGGCAAATTTCCAGAAATACAATGACAGAGAGAAAAACACCTTATCTGATTTGGTTTTATATTTGTACTAAACAGAATACTCTGGATTGCTTTAAATGATTGGTTTTGTACTACTTATTACAGAAAGGGTGTACTCATCACCCCAAAGGTTACATTGAAGCAAATCTCACCTCTATTACTGTTTTGTTGATATAAGTATCTAAGGAATTACTAAGTGTATTTTAAATAAGTAGAAAAATTTATATTTTTGCCTTCGAATTCCTGCAGAGTCCATGGTGAGAATGTCATATAAAAAAAGTTTCATATCTCAAGAGATATCTAGTATTACCATGATCTATAACTTACTATGGCTTTCTCAATAATATCTATTGACTCACAGGATAAAAGCCCAGCCCTAAGAATGTTTCATGGTTCTTGGGACTCTATGACCCTTTTCCTTTTTTTAAAGATACTTTTTTGCTGGGGTGAGCTTCTGGATCCTGAGTACTTAGTCTGATGACTCTTTGCTAGTTCTTTTTTTTTTTATTGCATTTTAGGTTTTGGGGTACATGTGATGAACATGCAAGATTGTTGCATAGGTACACACATGGCAGTGTGGTTTGCTGCCTTCCGTTCCCTCACCTGTATCTGTCATTTCTCCCCATGCTATCTTTTCCCACCTTCCCACCCCCCTGCCCCTCCCCCATTTCCCCCCAACGGACCCCAGTGTGTAGTGCTAGTTCTTAAGTATCCACGGTGGAGTTCCTTACAGAGCAATGAAACCATTGTTTAGCAGCGGTCATGTTTCCTTCCCTTCCCCAAGTGGGAGCACAGTTGGAATTCCTCACTTGTGGAAAGCAGCTCTGTTTACAGGGTGTGTGCCTGGAGGGAAACCTTCAGGTATTACTTGCATGAGAAATGTTTGCACTTCTTTTCTACCCAGAAAATTACATGGCTTACAAACCAAAATGCCATTTTTGATACACCTTCAATTATAAACAAAAGCGGTATAATTAGGCTTGAACTTGGCAACTCTACCATAGACCTGGTAGGATGGTAAGTGCTTTACTCAATTATTATTATAAGTATTATTCAGGCAATAACTGCTTATTAATAAGCTGGTCCTACTTATGCGGATGACTTCAAAACTGACTACTAACTCAAAAAGGTAAGTCATAGAGATGGAAAAATGGCCCTGTTCTGTAGGTACTACTCTAAATACATTCAGAATGTAAAAGAATAATACCTATTCCAATATTGCAAGAAGCACATACTATATAATGACTTAGATTCTCCACATCTTATATAAAATCATTAGAAGTAAGTATTAAAAGAAAAAACGAGACCCAGAAAAATTTCTGCAATACTTGTCTTGTGCACAGAGAACACTGTCTGTCACACGCGTTATCAATGAAAATGTTTCAACGAATGAATGAGTTTAGTTTCTAACTTATCTTTCTTACCAAGTCACTTCATCATATATTTTCCACCCTCACGTTGATGAGCAACTAATGTGGTTAGTTGGCTTTAAAGAGAGCGCGAGTGTTTCCATTTGAGACGAGGAGTCGGTGGTTCTCTGAAGCTGCCAGCCATTGCCTTGCCATCCCAATACCTAACACTAACAAAACATTTCACAGTTAACAAAACCATTGGAATAGATTACAAAAGTCCTGAAAGGTAAATGTTACCTAAATTTTTTTTTTTTTAGTTTCATGGGATAAATTAGTAGGACAGCTCATAATTGGGACAGTCAGTATGTGAACCCAAAACTCTTTCAACTCTGCCAGCATTGACCCCGTTCTCCCTCTGGGCCAATGCCCAATCCTAGTCATTCTTACTTTATATTGAATAATTCATCCCAATATCTTTTTTCATTTTTCTGCTTGCCTCCTGTTTGAACATGTCACTCTTTCTAGGTCTATGTCTTACTCTTCATTTCTTTCTCGAAATTAGCACAGACATAAATTTTAGTTTCTTAAGAACTTTTATACTGAAAGTCCTGTTCAAGTTTTTTTCCATTAACGCAACCTATCAAAAGGACATCCAAAAATAAAGGGAGACAGGAAACCCTCATCAACCAGGTCCACAGAGACTGTAATACATTTCGGATACCACACATCTTTCCGGGTTATGCTGCTCCCTCCACAGCACGTGCTTCCAACTCCCCTTTCTAGTACTCTACCACTGTGATGACTGGCTCAGGCATTTCCATCCTCTGTGTGTGTCTTTTACTCAGGGCCTCAGGTCAAGCCACATCAGCGGATGATGCCTGGCCCACACATTTCTCTGAAAACGTGACTTTCGGGCTGGTCCTAAGGTAGTGAGTTCTCTCAATTGATTGTTCACAGTCACTTGCAGATCAAACTCCTTGTTCTATTCTTTCCCCTGTCTCATCACTGCACTTGACTAGTCTCTAAAAAGAAAAACCTTTTAAAGGCTTTTGTAGGCAAGGAATTTCCACAATTACCTAGGAGTCCATCACTACTTTTCACAATTTAACTGAGGTTCATACAGTTATGCTACACTGTGCAGTTCAGGAGGCTGATGTCATTCCATGCTTCGTTCAAAACACTCATTAACAGGTGTCTCCTAGAAAGTGAGGGCTCCTGATGGGGCTCATGACTTCATAGGGCCTGGGAGTAATACCTGGCAAGTTCCTTCCTGGAGACTTGTACATAAAGTGACAGGATTTGGAGGGTTTGGCTTCTGTTACTCTCATCCTTAGAGCCAGCTGAGCAGGGAGCAGAAATACCACAAGTGTACTATGGAAACCTCCCTCAGCACAGCATAGGTCCTGCTAGATGAGAACCCTGGGCTCTATTCTTATTCCACTTCCCTGGCCTGAAAATAATTGAAAATAAAAAACTCAGGGACAGCAAAAGGATGAAAAGGGGCTTATACTCAGAAATTCTTGGAGTTACTTCAGTTGAGCTGGGCTCTCTAGAAAGGACAAGAGCAAGATAAAATGAGCTCAAAACTTCTCATCCCTTTAAACTACAGACAAATCTGCTTGATGTGGCTACTTTCAAGTCCTTAAAAATGATTCACTAGTACTTTTAGATGTCACGGGGCACTATGAACACACCCTCGAAAGCACAGAAGAAAACTCTACTGTCATTCTTCCTTCTTCACAAATGTACTGAGTCACTTTCACCTTGGCCATTCTATTTAGATCAGAGTCTGAAAGAGGGGGAAGCGAGGGGATTTGTCCAAAGCTACACTACTCAGTTCTTGGGCCTGCATGTCTCAAGAAATTTTTGATAAACCACATTGTTTTTTTTAAAGCCAAAGTATTATTTAAAGCTACTTATCCACTGTGGAATATAAAGCACTGGACTTTGAAATGTACACTTGATATCAGCTTGTTACTCTAATAGTCTTCAAATCAGGACACGTGTTTTGCTGAATGCATTCATTTTCCAGATCCTCAGCTTCTAGTCTTTCCTCAAGTCAATCTACCTTAACATGCACCTGAACCCGAGATACCAAGCTGGTTCTCCTCTCCCAATCCCACTTAAAAAGTCACACCTCTCAGCCATGGCAAACATTATTTTGTTGCACTGCAATATCAGAGGCACTAAACTAAGAATAATTGAAAACATTGATGTTAGTATTGAGAAAGTGAGTTCATTTCTTTTGAGATGGAGTCTCACTCTGTCTCTAGGCTGGAGTACAGTGGCACAATCCCAGCTCACTGCAACCTCTGCCTCCCGAGGTTCAAGCGATTCCCCTGCCTCAGCCTCCCAAGTATCTGGGGCTACAGGCATGTGCCACCACTCTGGGCTAGTTTGTTTGTTTGTTTATTTTTGTATTTTAGTAGAGACGAGGCTTCACCATGTTGGCCAGGATGGTCTCAATCTCCTGACCTCGTGATCCACCCGCCTCAGCCTCCCAAAGTGCCCGGATTACTGGGGTGAGCCACCGCTCCCAACTAAGAGAGTTAATTTCAGAGCACTTAAAAAATCCTTTTGCAAATTATGATTTTCAATTATTTGTTTTCGACAAAATTAAAAGATAATCTAAAGGAGTTGCCAACTTATACATCATTAAAACATCATTTTAAGCCTTATAGGTTTACGTTATGTAATTCAGAATAAATTTAAAGAATTTAATAACTCTGCTACCGGAAAAAAAATTCCAATGTTATCTATTAACATGAACAGGTTTTCTCAGTATTGACAACTGAAAGACAAAACCAAACAAACTAGAATTGGTTCTGAAACTTGTTTAATTCTAACAACAAGTAATATTTATAATTTGTGAGCTAATTTTTTAAAATTTCATCCCCATATTTGCAATGCATTTCCGATGAAGTTTTACTTTCATATTTCATTATATTGCATTGAAATTTCAATATTTGCATGCTGTTTGCTCAATTATGATGCTAAGTATAATTGTAACATTAATCCAGTTCAGAAAAAAAAAAAATTTCTTAACACTTAGAGCCTCATAATGACAGAAATTCCAATAAAACAAAATTTCTATTCATATGCATATTTTCCTTACAGACAAGTATGCTAGGCTGCTCAGTAAAAACCTTAAAATATATTAAAATATATTTGAAGCTTGAAAATTATTCTAGTAGGATGAACCAATGGAGGGGATAATTCATCAATAGAAATACGATATCAGAGTTCAAGGAGAAATAGGAGTAGAATAAATTCCAGCTGACAAAGAACTTACTCATCTATTTTTCTGATTGATGGCACTGGGCATCAGAAGACAACAGCATACAGATTCTTGCGTTTCCCATAGCTCTTCATACGTTCCCTTACCTTCCACCAAAAATATTATTGACCATTTCTGGAACACCCACTGACTTAGAGCCTTCACAACTGTGTTCTTGTTTCACCTTGGCTGAAATGCTCTTCCCCAACAAGTCCTCTTCTCAAAATAGCGTCATTCTGCAGAGTCCTTTCAAATCCCTGCTCTCCTAGGAAGCCTTCCTGAAATTCACTGGGATAATTCGAGTTGCCTGCCCTATCCTCCTTCAAGCCCACTGAGGTATCCTAACCTACTGTAGACTTATGTGTTTGTCTTCTCTAAAATTGAAATCTTTTTGAGGGTAAAATTCTATTATTCATTTGTGTTAGCCATGTTTATTCCATATTATCAACAAAGTGTATATTTTAAAAATGATTTAATAAAAGAATATTGTCAATGTTTTTATGACTTGGCTTCCCCTGCATTATGCAAATTTATGCTAATGTTGTACCTTCTATTAAAACAGGTGGTGATGGAAGTAAACAGTGAATTTATTGTTGAGGTAATGTATAATAAACTTATTTTTTCAATTTAAAATTAAAACAAAAACTGAATTTTATAATGTACTGTATTACATATAAAAATAAGAATATTTGAAATTGTAATTATCCACATAAAAGTTAAGAGACAGAATCTCTGGTGAACTGAAATAGCATACTCCCAAACAGTGAAATCCATACTCCCAAATCTCTGTTTCCAACAGCTTAGTTTTTAGTAACTCCTGTTTACCAAACTATATGGTAGTTGATTTATGTTTTGCAAAAGAAACAAAGTAACAGTTTAGAGTGGGACCCAGAGATTGTTTAGGCACATTAGACAGAAAGACAATTGATGGTTCATCAATGAGAGAAAGTACAAACATTCAAACTGTATATCACAACTAAATGGAAAACATATAATCTGGTGCCATTCAGAGTGCAACTCAGGAAATACTGCTGTCCTCTCTCTGGCAGAGCTTTATTTTAGTATAGTAGTTAGATTTTCCTTGTGATCCTCTCAAATCATTGGAAAAAAAAATACTTTTCTCATCTTTTTGGTGAAATAGGGAATAGGTGGACATTTCAGGAAGTTGTATCAAAATGGGGAAATAATGTAAATACTCTGATTCTAACATACACTTCATTCAGGGGAACACCTCCTTTCTCCAAAATGGTAATTAAAGGAAGCTTAGCCTAAATAAACTTATAATCATCTGAGTTTCAGAACGTACCTTTGGACTTACAAAAATAAATACATGCATATTTATAGTTTATGCATGTATACAAATATGCTTGCACATGTAGTGACATTTCTAAACTTATTAATATTTAATTCTTAAGTATACTTCAACAGTAGCAACTTAAGACTACAAAAGAAAAAGCATATAGCAAGCAAAGTTACAAATGACAACATTGCAAAGCTATATAGGTGTCCATGGGATTATTGGAGAAATCATCAATTCCTCCAATATTAATATTTTTCTAATTCCTCAAAAATATATTTGAGTGCTTAGCCACAGTGATGTCCTTATCAACAGAAGAGAAAAAAATGTTTTCTCTCTTTTAGGTGAGCACGACTCACCAGCTCAATATTTATCTTACGTGGGATGTGCATGCATGGAACAAGGCTGATGTTTAAACTCCTCAGACCGTCAAGTCTGGTGAAAGCTCAGTGAAGGGTGAGGTAGGCAAGGCTCCCATATGATGAAGATAGATTGAAAAAAGAAAAACTGTACAATTTATACAGTATAGTACATCATGAACTCCTTAGCTAGCTAATGAAATGTTTCTCTAGAATCAAATAGTTGGAAAGATAATTCCAAAAAATGTAGCAGGCAGAAGTAATTAAGTTCTACATATCCAGTTGTGAATTCGTGAAAACTTTCTCTGTTCTTCAAATTCAGTATCACTGTTTCTTCTAAATGCACCTTACAATGTTAAATAAATGTCCTTTCGAAGTAAAATCGTTCTAACACTGTAAGAAACATGAACTATCTTTGCTTAAGGTGAAGGAATTAGACATTGAAAATGGCACTACAAAATGGCAAACAGTCAGAAGACAAAAGCGGGAGTGGATCAAGTTTGCCGCAGCCTGTCGAGAAGGAGAGGACAACTCGAAGAGGAATCCCATCGCCAAAGTAAGTGACAATGCAAGCTGAGGACAAATGCTTTTGCAGAGCAGGGAAGCTTTCAAATATTTCCCAGATTTGCAGCCTTCACTGCTCCACAGTTCTTTAAGAAGACAGCACTTGATCATTTGCTCCAGTTGCTAAGTCACTGATTTGAATATCACGTGCAGGGAGGCTGACATGGGGCAGGCAGTCAATGGCGAGTGATCCTAGAAGAAAGAGTTGGATCTCCAGCACAGCTGGTTTTGTTCATCCATTTGTGTTCTGCTCATTATTGCCTGTCTACATCATAGGAAATATATTCACATAGTGACAGTCTGATGACCGACCCTCCAGAAAGTCAAGCTAAGTTTACTGCACTTGATGAATTCATTCCAAGAAAGTAACGACAATATCAAAAGTTCCCACCAGATCGCTAAATCCAGAAAATAAGAGAGTCTTAAAAGATCTTCACAAATAATGCCTACGGGGGAAAAAAAAAAAAGGAAAGTTAAAGAATGTGTAATAAATTATCTAAGGATGGGATCCACATTAATAGCTTCATTTGCTCTTTCCGGGCATCTTGATCTTGAACAGTAAAGTGATCTGCAGAAATTTCTCCTTCCAGCTTTACATTAAAAATATAGTAATCATCAGCAATGATGTTACAGATACAAGCTCAGCTCAAGAAAATAAATTTATCCTCTCTCAGATGTTTTTAAATTGGAGGGATGTTTTAAATTTATTATTTCCATTCAACTCGTAGTGATAGCTTTATGTTATCCCACTTATATTGCACATTCTTTTTTTTTTTTTTTTTTTTTGGCATTTTGGGAGGCTCCTGAGTTTTCTGCTCTGTAAAAAAGACATTTGGGTTAGAGTAGAGCTAACCAAACTTCTGTTTTCAACTGTATTTATTTCACTGTGAATGGGTGGGCAACAAATATTAATATTTTATGGAATTCTCTTCTCTTTATAGGTGAAATTTCAAAACTGTTTCAGTTTAAATTTATCAGCAATAGATAATAAAACTACTAAAGTAAAATCTATGTGGCAGAATATTTACTATAAAATCTATTTGGCAGAAAAGTGATGCAGTATGTTTACATTTATAAAATTATTACCAATACAGTATCTCTAACCATTATACTTCTCTGATATTTTCAATTTATCTACCGTTTTGACTAAATCTCAGACTCCAGCCTAGGTAGAATACTTATTAATATGACACAAGTTTTAAAAAAATAATAAAGATTGTGATTTCTTTTGGGAAACTCTGTGTATGTCGAAAAGTCAGAGAATATAAAAATGTATTATTAATAACAAAGCTAGCATCAAGGGTGTATGTTGTATAATTACCTCATGTAATTCCCACAACAAATTTGTGTGATAGGTGGTATTATCCCCACTGTAAGCTGATCTGGGCAAAGTTAACTAAATTTTCCAAGGTCACACAGGACTGTCATGGTGCCAGCTTCAATCCAAAGTCGATTTGGTTATGAAACCCATTCCCTTCTCATTCCACTACAGTCTGAAGTTTATTATCTGTTCTAAATTGGATCACAATTCTAGCTATTTTTCTCATAGATTCGATCAGACTGTGAATTGAACCAGAAGATTACATACCGAATTTCTGGGGTAGGGATTGATCGACCACCATATGGGATATTCACCATTAACCCTCGCACTGGGGAAATTAACATCACTTCAGTGGTAGACAGAGAGATAACTCCACTTTTCTTGGTAAGTCATAGCCATATGTTTGGATTTGTTCATATTAGTTTTCTGCCCTTTTTTAAAAAAATATCATCTTAAAACAATGGATTACTTTTGATAAAACATGGTAGACTGAACCCAAATGGAATGAATGGAAAGAATGAAAGTTTGTAGTTCAGGATTCTCTGGTATATTGCATGTGCATGTGGTCAAGTGTCTTGATCATATTTAAATTATTTGACTGTACTATCGTCTAAATTCACTGGAAAAAATTGCTTCTTTGCCTGTTTTCTGATATATTTTCAAGCATGTTACTTAAATTCCTTTGGTGGAAAAAGACACTTTTTTTTTTCCAACTTTCCACAGATCTATTGCCAGGCTCTGAATTCACGGGGTGAAGACTTAGAAAGGCCTCTTGAGCTTAGAGTCAAAGTTATGGACATAAACGATAATGCACCAGTCTTTTCACAAAGTGTGTACACAGCCAGTATTGAAGAAAATAGTGACGCCAGTAAGTAAAATGACATTCCTTTTCTACATCGCCCCATAGCTGCTTCTCTCGGTCAAAAGCTTTAGAAGACTGACGTACAGGAAATGGAAAGGGCAGAAAAAGTCACATTTGTATTTTGAATAAACCCCACATATTTTAACTTTGAACTGAGCAAGAAAATGAAATCATGTCTAAAATGATCAAATATCTTTTTACTTGAGGAAGGTCCCTACGGGAATGTAGCAGGTGCTTAGCACCTTCCTTAGAGATTGTCACTGGGCTCATGAACAACTGAATCCAAGTGAGCAAACCGAGGAAGAAACCAGGGATGTTTAAGAAGGCTCTGTTGTGGTCTATTACTCAGAATGTTTGACTGACCCACACCAGGTAGAGAGTGATGGTGGAAGCACGCAGTAGTACCCATCAGATCAATCACTAAGGGTAATCATTGATCTTCACAGACTGCATAGCAAACTACATGCTATTCTCTCATTTTCTTTCATTTCTTTCCATTCCACTTAATTCCATTTCCAGTTCTAATACCCTTTTGTCTTTCCTTTATATTTGTTCTCCTGAACTCCTTTCCTTCCTCCTCTTACGCTTTTCCTATACATCTACTTTCCTATCTCTCCTCTCCCTTTGCCTTCTGACCTTGATTTTACTCACAGCGCATGAATATCAGCTTGTTACCCAATCTCCTAAGTTCCCTCTCCCTTTCAAACCTGTGTCACCCATATACCTCTGAACAAATTTGGGGGGAAATAATGGGAAAAATAAATCTCAGGAGAAAAGGCAGATAAACACAAAATGTGTTTTTTGAACTAGGATAATCCTCCAATAGAGAGGCAAAGAGGTTTTACCTAAGAGAGGCAACACAAAGAGAGAGAGACTTCGAAGTCCATTTTTTGCTTCCTCATCAACACACCTCAGGACAGCACTGGTGAAGGAAAAAATGGTGAAGCCCACAGCCAAGTCCCCCTGCCTAGGAAGCAAAAGAAGATCAGGGACCGACAATTCTGAACAATCTGTCCTGTAGGCTGATGTCCTTGGGGATTGGCGTAGAACACTGTTCTTTCTACCTATGAGTGGAGAACTTCTTATATTGCTATGGACAAGTCCTCTTTTCAATGATTATATATTTGTGACTGTTTGTTCAAATGCTACCTACCAGTGCAACCAAGAGTAATTATCTGCTTTCTGGATAAGTGGCAGTTAAGAATATAGATGTTCAATAAATAATTACAATGTTATATTTCATTAAACCACAATCTTCCTTAAGCATTTTAAAATAATTTCACAGGACCATGGCAGATAAATAAAACAGATAAAAATCTGTTTATTCAACTTTCTGATGAAGAATCTGTTGAACTTCTTTTTCATACGTTAAAGAGAACTATGTTTTGCTACTAATTTAGCATTTAATCATTTAAAGAGTGCAAGTGCTTTTAAAACAGTAAAGGGTTTTATAAAGCAAATCACAATTATTTTTGTTATGACTGGTAGAGCTGAAAGTTATGGTACTATATTCCCACAGAAAACTCAAACAGAGAGAATTTGGGAAAGGCCAACCCCTCTGTCTTCTTATGCCTAATGATCTGTTGAGTTTATTCTAGAGTCCCAACCATTCTCCACCTCCGTTTCTATTTCTAGATGCACTGGTAGTAAAGTTAAGTGCCACAGATGCAGACGAAGAAAATCATCTGAATTCCAAAATTGCCTACAAGATTGTCTCTCAGGAGCCTGCAGGTGCACCCATGTTCATTCTGAACAGGTACACTGGAGAAGTCCGCACGATGTCCAGTTTCTTGGACAGAGAGGTAAAGCCTTGTGTGAATGAATAAGAAATAAAAAATTCAATTTTGAAAAGACAAAGATAAAACAATCCATGTGTACCCTTACTCCAATATAAAGGAGGGAAGGAAAATAATACATTTTTAATAAAAATTAAAAGCTTAATTATATTTTATTTGATATGTAAATAGAAGAAAAATAATAGCATGAAGATATTGGATTCTATTCAAGACAAGACCTAAGTCTTACATTCTTTTTCATCTTGATTAAGCAACACAGTACGTACAACCTAGTTGTGAGAGGCTCAGATCGGGATGGAGCTGCAGATGGACTGTCTTCTGAGTGTGACTGTAGAATCCAGGTTTTAGATGTCAACGATAATTTCCCCACCTTAGAGAAAACATCAGTAAGTTTGTGTTTTTTAATCCTTTTCCATAAGTGTCAATAATCAATTTGCTTTCATGCTGGTTCATGAGCCTGGTTCTGTCCTATGTATGGACATACTCACCTTGTTGTAGAAACTTTGGAATTTCTTATGTATACTAATATACCTTCAAACTATGTTTGCCTTTGACTCACTACTCCAAACAAACCTTCTTTATGAAAGCAACAAACTGTCTACTCTGTATTCTCTATTCACAGAAACACAGAAATCTATTGCTCTAATTCTAGAAATAATATAGCAACATTAATGTTTTTGTATATGTCTCATGATTTGCTGAATAAATTCTACTAGAGTCCCAAGCATTCTCAACTTCCATTGTAAAGATGCATAAAATCCAAAGTAGCAGGGCCAAATCCAGCTTCATGTCTGTTTTGGTTTAAAAAAAGAAAATGTATTATTGGGGCCTAGCTGTCCTCATGCCTTTACATGTTGTCTGTGGGGGCTTTGTACTTTGTGCTGCAACAGCAGAGATGAGGGGCTGAAACACCAATTCTCTGGCCCACAATATCTAATATATTTACTATTTACAGAAAAAAAAAATCTGATCCCCTATTTGAAGGAAATGAGTAAAGAAAATTAGCAAGAAGCAAAAAAAGAAAGAAACAAACAAAATCACAGTTTGACCTTGATTTTACATATAGCACATGAATGTCAGTTTTATTATCTTATATATTTTATTCTTATTTTTTCTGATTGGACAATGGCATTTAATAAGGCAAAAATCACTGACATAGTTTGTTGTTAGTATTTTAAATAATAATTATATCTTCTTAAGTACATTTCTCCTTTTGAAAATTTGTTGACTACACAATTGATCTCTACATTTTAGTACTCAGCAAGTATTGAAGAGAATTGCTTAAGTCCAGAACTGATAAGATTACAAGCAATTGATCTTGATGAAGAAGGCACCGATAATTGGTTGGCAAAATATTTAATTCTCTCTGGAAATGATGGGAATTGGTTCGATATTCAAACAGACCCAAAAACCAATGAAGGCATTTTGAAGGTTGTCAAGGTACAGTATAAGGATCTGCAATATTTTCTTCCATAGAAGTTTTAAATGACCTTAGAGATAGAATCTGCCTTCAAACAAAGTACTTCATAACTTTGAATATTGCTTGTATCAAGGACCCTAAGTAACTGCTGTGTCAGTCTGAATCGCTCAGCTAGCAAAACAAAATTTATTACCAAGAAAAATAAGAAAGTTGTTTTGTTCTGACAGGGCCCAATATTTAGTTGTGAAGATAAAGCAAGCATCCCCAACTTAGATGACGCATGGGAATTCACAGTGTAATAAACAGCACAAATATCATGATATACAACATAATTAATTGCCAAGGGAGTGAAATTTGAAATAATGAATGAGATAAAAAAATGGTGAGATCCTTCTGAGCTAGATTTGTCTGAAAAGATTTCATGCAGGGAATAAAGTTTAAGCAAGATGTTATAGCTAAGATTACTAATGCGGGTAACAAGATAAGCAAACACACAGAGTAAGAAAACATGAAGCATGGTCAGGGCATGGAGAGCAACCCGGTGGGGCTGCAGTGGAGCATTCAAGCAGGGAAGTAATGAGAAGTGAGATCAGAGAAGTCAAGCTGGAGTCGATCCACGGAAAACCTTGAATGCTGAAACACAAGGTTTGATTTTTTTTCTAGAGATTGATTTTTCTTAAATTATTTACTTTTAATTCACAGACAATGATAAAACTGAAAAATTTATAATTAAAAACAAAACTACGAGCCAGTAAGATTCAGATTAACGTTAATATTAATAGGGAAATTGTTATTTTTTATCAAAGGAAATTGCTGCTATTAACCTAAACAACACTTATAGTTAGGAAATATATATTATGACATATACATACACACATATTTTTAGTTTGCTATACAGTGTGATTATGGAATTTACAGTGTGATTATTCAGTTCTGTTACTACTTTTCTCTACCCCAGTGCATAAGGATGTTTCTGTGTTGCTATAAAGGAATAGCTGAGACTGAATAATTTATAAAGAAAAAAGGATCAGTTGAATCACCATTTTGCAGGTGGTACAGGAAGCGGTGGCTCATGCCTGTAATCCCAGCACTTTGGGAGGCCAAGGCGGCAGATCACTTGAGGCCAGGAGTTCAAGATCAGCCTGGACAACAGGGTGAAACCACATCTCTACTGGAACATGGATGTGGGGCAGGCACCCGTAATCCCAGTTACTCAGGAGGGCTAAGGCATGAAAATCAATTGAACCCAAACCTAGGAGGCAGAGGTTGCAGTGAGCCGAGATTGTACCACTGCACTCCAACCTGGGCAACAGAGTGAGACTGTCTCAAAAAAAAAAAAAAAAAAAAAAAAAGATTTATTGAGAATTACTATGTGTTAAGGACGTGAAGGTGAATAAGATATGGTCCCTGTTCTCAAGGAACTTACAGTTTAACAAGAGAATGATCTCAGAAAAATGAAAATATCTTTGTCAATAACAACTTCTTTTTGGTATTTATTGATAAGTATATATGAAAATACAAGCAATATAAATATGTATGTGTGTATATATATACATTGATTATTTCAACACTGAAGAAAAATGCTACCCAATTGTAATTCTAACCAAAAAAAAAAAGATTCCCTATTTTTATAATAGTTCTAAAATTTATTAAGCAATTACTAAACACCAACTATTCTGTTTTAAAGTATATTCAGAGGGTTCACATATATCATCTCATTTAATCCTTACAACTCTGGGATTTAAATACAGTCTTTTTTTTTTTTTTTTTTTTTTTTGAGACAGCCTCACTCTGTCACCCAGGCTGAAGTGCAGTTGTGTGATCATTGCAACCTCCTCCTCCTGGGTTCAAGTGATTTCTGTGTCTCAGCCTCCTGAGTAGCTGTGATTACAGTTGTGTGTCACCACACCCAGCTGATGTTTGTATTTTCAGTAGAGACAGGGTTTCACCATTGTTGGCCAGGCTGGTCTCAAACTCCTGACCCCAAGTGATCTGCCCACCTCAGCATCCCAAAGCACTGGGATTATGAGCCTGAGCCAACGCACCCAGCCAGTAATTCCATTTTTAGAGAAAGTGAAACAAAATCAAAGAGGACAAATAGCTAGTCTCAGTTTACCCAGATAGCAAACGTCAGAGACAAGATCCAGCCAGAACTCTCTGATCCCAAAGTCATATTTAACTGCCACCTTCATGTCTCACTGTGTAATTGGGAGCCAGTGAAACCGATTTTAGGAAAGATCTAACACCCTGAGACTTTTCCTCCAAGTCCGTTCACCACTACACGCTCCTTCCCAGCTACGTGTGCCCTGCTTCTCTCTTCCAGACACATTTGTACCAGATAATGAACCTTCCTGGAGAGCAGAACACACACACTTGGGCAGATATTTGACCACTTCTTCCCTCCCCTGCTGTAAAAAACTGCTATCTCATCCTCCTTTTCAATGGAGACTTTTAACTTCTCTCTCTTTCATACTTAGTACTAAAATGAATCGGTGTCCCCACTGAAATTAGCAGTGTTATATATATTAAATTAGAACAAAAACTTGAATGTGAAAATCTAAGCTTAGCTTTTATACGACAATTTACAGAAGCCAAAAGCCTGCCAGAAGCCAAATCCATTTCCGGATGTGTTATCTTCATCCTGAGCCCTTCCAGAGCCTCACTCTAGATCACTGCAGGTCATGCCCCCACCCACTCTAACACATGCCTGTGGACCTTGTTAGGTTGTTACTCCTCATTGGTTGCTTAAACTGCAGAGACTGAGTTTCCCCAGACTTGCCCTTTACTCTGTGAAAAGACTCCAAGGTAAACCATCATTTCCATTGCTCTTCACAATCCCTGACCTCTGGACACAATCAGAAAATCCTGACTAAAGGGTCCCAATTGCAACGAATGAATGAATCACTTTCTGCCTTTACTCTATTTGGCTTTCCCTCCTAGAGGAAAGGTTGACCCCAGACCAATTCCTGTTCCTAGATTATGTGAGATCTTTAATTTATACCACTTTAGATACATATTAGTATATTTCATGACACTATATTCAATGGGAAGAGAACTATTGATACTCTTACAAACAGAAGTGCATTTGTGTATATACATAAGAAAAGCACAAGAGAGCTCTCCACCAGAGGAGAGGTTCTCAGGCCGGACACTTCTCAGAGGTTCTCATGCCTATAATCCCAGCACTTTGGGAGGCCAAGGCAGGTGGATCACCTGAGGTCAGGAGTTTGAGACCAGCATGACCAAGAGGCAAAACCTTCATCTCTACTAAAAAATCAAAAATTAGCTGGGTGTGATGGCACATGCCTATAGTCCCAGCTACTTGGGAGGCTGAAGCAGGAGAATCACTTGAACTTGGGAGGCAGAGGTTACAGTAAGCTGAGATTGCACCACTTCACTCCAGCCTGGGCAACAGAGCAAGACCTGTCTCCAAAAAAAAAAGAGAAAGAATAGAGGTTCTCAGTTTTCCATATTTGAAGATAGCATGGAATTCTATTAAATAAAAAATGATTTGTAGAAGAGAGATCTCCTCAAGTTGAAAATTGATTTTTGAGTACATAATTTATATTCAGTTCTGTGCTATCATGTGGACCAGTGGACTAGGTATTATGTGCATCTGTGAACAGACGTGCAAAAGGAATCAAAATCCCAGACCTCAAGGGTTTTAGCTGAAATTCAAGTGTGGCATGCTGAGCCATCTTCAAAGAAGAACCCAAGTAAATTACTGTAAATGTTTTTCTTATCAACTCTTTGAAAAAAATGTAACTCTAAAACCTAAGGAAATATTCACGATGTCAGGGAGTTTCCCTGAGAAGCAGAGATTTATCTCAGAGTCCTGTTGATGGCGAGTCTTGCAGATATCTTGACTTCTGCTGTTGGAAATGCTTTGTTAGTGATGCTTACCTCAGCTTCCGGAACATTTCTAAGTAGCCATTGCTCAGCAATTCTTTTTGTGCAACTACTTTTTCACTTGTGACTTTTCATGTCACCACATCAATCATTCTGGATCAAAAGATTCTATTTTTTATCTAGACACCCATTTCAAAGGTGACTCTTCTCTGGGCATGGTATTTACTCATTTGAATATGCCCCATGTAGTCTTCCTGTCTACCAGGCCCAGCGACTATAATCATCGTAAATTCTTTAGAAGTTGTTTATATCATTAAAAAAAATTACATGTTCAGTGACATCATATATATTAGTGCCTTTATTCTGCTGATTATACTTTCAAAAGATTCTCAGATGTTCTATATAAGAAATGTGGGTACTATTTATTTATTCAATAGTGTAAACATTTTTATATCATTCTAAAGTTTTTTTCATAAACACCTCATTTGGAAAATACTGTTTTTCATTTCAGCATTTTTGTATAACAAGTCCAAAACCCAAAATTTGATTCAATTTAAAATCACAGCCTTAAATTATCTACATAGCTGATTATGCTGAAAGATAAACAGAATAACTTATCTAAGACATCTAAGGCAGACATAAGTAAAATTTTTTTCAATATAAAATCTAAACAGCATATCTCCTGGACTTTATTCTAGTTTGTGGTTCACTTTACCATGGCTTCTTACATTAGTAAAAGAGAGTTCTTTGCTGTTTCAGAGTTTTTTGTTTTCTTTTATTTCAGATGCTGGATTATGAACAAGCACCTGCTATTCAGCTTGGCATCGGAGTTAAAAACCAAGCTGATTTTCACTACTCCGTTGCTTCTCAATTCCGAATGCACTCAACCCCTGTGAGAATTCAGGTTATTAATGTGAGAGAAGGACCCACATTTCATCCAAGTTCTATGGCTTTTAGTGTGCGGGAAGGAACAAAAGGAAGCTCCTTATTGAATTACGTGCTTGGCACATATACAGCCATAGATTTGGACACAGGAAACCCTGCAAAAAATGTCAGGTATGGCAAGTATTTTCTTAATGCTCTACGCTTCTATCCAGTGTTAATTTGTGTAGTATGTGCTAGTATATGTGGGTTGCAATACTTTTGGAGGGTTTTTTGCTTTTATTATTCCTGTGATTTAGAAGACTATTAGAGCATTTGAAATCTTAGAATTTTAACAGTGTTGTAGCGGCTCCAATAATGTAAGGACTCCAACTGGCTATAGAGGTAATTGTGTCCAGCAAGCAATTGTAAGATCAAAGCCACCCAAATTACTCCTTGAGTTTCTTTGATCTTTTGTGGCCAGTTTATACTACCCTGGACCTGGGCCGATTAAGCTATATTGAAGACAATAAGACACCATAAAAGCTGAGTCACCACTTGTTTTCTCAAACCTATGTTATCTATGGCTTTGAGGCTAATGTCAATCCTCTGCTTAATATAATAGAAAAAACATAATGGTAGAAGCTAAAAACAGTGTTTTAAAAATTTGACAGGCATAAATAGAAGTCAGGAGAGGAGAAATAACAAGGTAGTATTACGGGCACTAGGTACATAAATTATATGTGAATTAGAACTGTGTAAAATAATCTAGAAATAACTACAATTAAGTACACAGATCTTCTCTATATCCTGCCCTTCTCTATCTCCTTTTCTTCCTCCCAATATTCTTGGAGTAAACAAAGTCCACTGACTAATAAATTACTTTGATGTTCACAGTTTTAATTATTAAATCAGTTAACAAATTGACAGACTCAAAAAAAAAACCTGTGAATTCAGCCAGAATAGGATATAGGTAAAAGCAGTTAAGATAAAGGAACTAGAGACCTGAAATTGTGCCTGGTAGAGACCCCATCTTCTTCCAGTGAGGTCAAGAACTTTAAGTCTATTATCTGTAACAAGAGCCAGATAGACACACTGAAGAGAGGAAACCATAAGCCCCCAATAGGCCATCAGTGAGGTGCTCTGAAATCAACATGGCTGAAAAGCCACAGAAAAATCCTAAGTATACCACATGTGAAAATAAATAAGCAATATTTGTTTCTGAAAATGAAAAAGGATGTTTTATGTTGCTATGATTTAATAAATAGAATTGAAATAAACTCATACATTTTATTAACATTATACTAAGAGCTAGAAGAGTAAGAATGATGAAATTTTAAAACTTACAGACCTGTATATTAATGTATTTATCATTGAATTTGTATTGATATATATACATCTTACATATATACATATATAAATACATTTTATATATATATACATATATAAAACACAATCATCACTATAAAACATACAAATACAATATTTAAGTTTACCACATTGTAGCTCTTATGTGATTTGATGTACTAACTTTCACAAAAGCACAATAATGATTTTTTTTATTTAAAAACAGATATATCATAGGGCATGATGCAGGCAGCTGGTTAAAAGTTGATTCAAGAACTGGTGAGATACAATTTTCTAGGGAATTTGATAAGAAGTCAAAATATATTATCAATGGAATATACACAGCAGAGATCCTGGCTATAGATGGTAAGAAAATTTATTGTTAATATTTTAAGAAAATTAGTACTATTATATTAAATATTATGTTATTCTAATGCTGATATTTGAGTGACTCAAACATGTTTAATGGCATATGCAAGACTTACAGAAAGTTCTAAATACTTTAAATCAAGAATTGAAGTCAATTAAAATCATAATTTAAACTTAAGCCATAGTTTATTTTACCTACTTCCAAAAATGAGCTGCATATGGCTTACAGCATGAAAGTTAATATAATTTAGTTTCTGTTTATGACTTTGTCTCTTGAGTATGGCTAATCTCACTTGTAGGGTATATTGGGAATGTTTACTTAAAGTAAGGGCTACATGCTATACCAAGTTCATTTGGGGATCACTTTCTGGGGAGACAGTGTCTCCAAGAATATAATTATTTTAGAGCCATTAAAATTGAACTACAATGAGAAGCCTGTGTGAGTGTTGCTTGATTAGACATATTTCCATAGTAAGATGCTATGGACCAAGAAAGCACAAGTTATTCCAAATATAAGATTCATGTTAAAAGTCATAAATGCAGATGCACAGACTTGACTTGTAAGTGAGCCACTTCTCATATGGAAAAATCTATTAAGCAGTCTTCTTGCCGAGTAGCAACAGGATTTGCTTATTTATCGATAGTTAATGATTCTGTGAAGCAGTGCCTAGGAAACCAGCTGCTATAGAACAAAGCAAGAGAGAAAGGTCAGAAATCTGAAAGAAGGGGAAGGATACATGTCCAAGATACAAGCCTAATGTAAGATAGATACTGTAGGTTTGCACTGAGTTTATATCTGATCTTTCCAGTAGCAAAACAGAAAGAAAGAAGCAGCATAAAATTCAGAAAGAAACCATGAGAAAAGCAAACCAACTATCGTCCATACAACCTGGGCTTCATCCTGTGGCGGGTAACTTTTAATGCCTGGGTCAGTTTCATAAATCACGTTGTCTTATTTATTATTAGTATGCTGGAAGATCTATTTTGAAAATGGATTCTAACCATGTTGATTGCACCCTATGTTTGCATACTGGTCATATGTAAAAATCTTCAAATGCTAGAAGAAAGAATTGGTTGTTCCAAGCAAACAAAGAGAAAGAGCTATCAAAATGTACCAAGAGAAATCCAAAAACAAAGCTGATTGTTTATTCACCTAAGCAGAGTGTCTGCAGTGGCACAGAGCTATCTGGATGGTTGGAATGTTTGCTTCAGCATCCACCATCATCAGGTGAAGAGACAGACCTCTGTGAATAGCAAACTTTCTTGGGGAGTGAATGCTCTAAGCAATAGTTTGAGCTTTGGTTGCCAATCACAAGGTAACAGAAGAGCTACCAAAGATCAAAGAATGGCAAATAAAATGATCTGTGTAATAATCTAATGCCTCTCTAATGAGAAAATAAGTGAAATCAGCTCTTTCATCTAGGAAGTCCAATGCTGAATAGGGTATATAAACATATTATACAAAATTCCATGGACTATGGATAGGTTCTCAGTTTATATCATTCAGTTACCTTAGTGACTACTACTTAGGCACACAGAAAACATCTGTAAAAGGAATTTATTGCTTTCTCAGAAAAAAACCTAGTAAGGTACCCAGAGATGATAGTGTTCTATTTTAAAAGTGAGAAAGCTAAGATCCTTTGCAAGTTAAAAACAAGCAAAAAAATTCTTTATTTATTGTAACAGAACATAGAGTCAAAAAGTGAACTAAAAAGTCCCTGGATTCCTAATCTTTGATCTTCGGCCATTTCTAATAAATTATACTATTCAGAAACTTGTTTCAAGTGGATTAGGGAAAAATCTAATAAACTCATACTTGTTTTCGAAAATGCCATTTCAGAAAGAAATAGCCTGTAACAGATGCAATTAAAATAAACAGTGAAAACAGAAGAAGAACACAAACAAGTATTTAATTTCAACTGGCTATTTCCACAAATGCTGGACTCAGTGAGCATCCTGAACAGACGTTTGTAACTGATCTGGGGGTCTAATTTATGGGAACAGGATAAGACCAGAAAGAAGTAAACCTTCTCTGAGGAAGAACATTTGATTTTGTGCCTTAGGATGTGTCGGAATTAGCAAAATGAGATGAGGATGGAAAAGATTTTAGGAAGAGTGAAAAGAATGTGCCAGAGTCCAGAGTTTTGAGTCTACTTTAAAGAACTCAAAAGTAGTAGTGTGGCTGGAAGGTGGCACACAAAGGCAAGAGTAACTTCAGGTGTTTGAAGCAGGCAGGAACGTGTCAAGCCTCCCAAGTGACTTATATGCTTCCTACAAGCCCCATGGCATCATCAGGGAATATGAGAAAGAGTTTTCTCCCTGACACCATTTACCTCAACACCTGTGACTCTTACTCTTTCAGATGGCTTTGGAAAAACAGCTACAGGAACCATATGTATTGAGGTTCCTGATGTCAACGATTACTGTCCAGACATTATTCCTGAAAGAAGAGCCATCTGCATTGACTCTCCCTCAGTCCTTATCTCTGTTAATGAACATTCTTATGGGGCTCCTTTTACTTTCTGTGTTGTTGATCAGCCACCAGGAACAGCTGACATGTGGGATGTCAGATCAACAAATGGTAAGTGAAATATAAGCTTGCTTTTTGGACTTTAAGTCCAAAAGCAAAACAATTACCAAAAAATTTGTCAAGTCACTTAATAATACATTCTACCTGTTTCCACAATTCTTGCCATATTAACATTAAATGAAAAAAGTCTTTCATGTACACACAGGATATTTGATAAAATTTTGAACTGAAATAAGAGTCAAAATGTTTCATCAGTATTGCGGTTACAAATAGTAGTAGAGAAATACAGTTTAACCATCATTTTTGAGTAAGTAGGGCACTAAACCCATATTTATTCAGTTTAAAATAAACAGAATCTTTGACAAACTCATAAATTAAAAACATCACAATTCCCTATTCTGAAGAAATTCAGGCAAATCACATAAATGTCTCTGAAACTCATATATCCCTTTTATATATTTAAACATTTACTACTCATTTAAGAGCACATAAGATCAATTAAATTGTTTTTAACAAGAACTATGAGTTCAGAATTATTTCTAAGGGTAAAAATTTAAATCCAAATTGCTCAATATTAAAGGAATAGTTAAACTATAGTACATATTATTAAGAGGTGCTAATATGCAGCCATTAAAATTAGAATTATGCAAAGTATATAGATACAAAAGAATGCATAAACCAAAGAAAGTAAAGTGAAAAACAGATCACAAAGTCTATCTATATGTATCCTGACTTTAGCTACATGCAATTGAATGGTGGACATCAATAAAAATTAAGAATAAGTTTCAGATAACATAACATTTTATCTACCTTGGGTTCTTTTTCCTAAAATGGTAAGTTAATAATAATAATAAAAATGCTATGAAAGGATCCCACTTGGGTTAAGATAGCTCTCTAATCTCATATTCATTTGGATCCACAGGAAAAACCTCATAGTTTTCCATGAGGCTAGTCAGTGGTCATCAGAGCCCAGGGTGAGAGGAAATACTTCCCACCTCTTTGAGGCCACCAAGACCCTCCATTTACAGAATGGAGAACCCCTAAAATTAGATGGGAAAAGACTTGGTCAAAGTAAGAGATTAGGCCATTCGTTTTTACCATCAAACCTTTAGCTCTTTTCAACAAAACCACTTTAGTATTTTTTAAAGTTAATCACATTAAAGCAATTCCATTAATATCAAGACAACTCTGAATTCACCTTCTCCTATAAAGCTCAATATCCCACTCACGAATAATAATTGCTAACCACTTTTTTCCTCATTCAGATCCTAGATATTATGCTTATACCCATAAGAAAAACTGTTCTGCATGGAGGTATAATATTATAGATATTACAAGTTTGCCAATAAAAAAGATAACTGCACTAGAGATAATATTCCTAGACCTGTTTCAGTGCTGGTGTTTTAGACCAGAAAGAACCTCACTCAATGTGCTGTGACATTGCCTTATCTCATTTTTACCTTGTGCACAGGCTAGATTTTGGTAGATGATATAGCTGGCTTGTCATCTAGCTAACTGAGGGTAATAAGCCATCATAATAAAACATATTGTGTGCTATGGATCATTCATTTACTCTTCATGGTTTAGCTGTAAATTTAGCTGTAAATCATCTCTTAACCATCCTTGGATTAATAAATAAATTCCAACCAATATGTTATGCAATACTTTTATACAAATCTGTAGGCAATGATAGAACAAAGAAATAGGAGAATTTGAATTTGAATTGAATAATTTTAAATGAAAGAGCAACAATTTTGAATAAGATATATATCACAGTCTTAAGGAGGGTATTGTATAAACTGTAATCCTAAATAGAAGACTTCCAGTATTTTCTTTCAGCTCAATATTATTTATTCACTAACAAGTATTTATTTGTATATTATACATGTAAATTATATGTATAATTTACTGTTGCTCTGGAAAGATGCAACAAGATCCTTGCCTGCATTGTAGAAGTAGCAATCAAACAGTAAGCAATACTTATTAAGGCCAGGCATGGTGGCTCAAGCCTGTAATCCCAGAACTTTAAGAGGCCATGGCAGGTGGATCACTAGAGCCCAGGAGTTCAAGACCAGCCTGGGCAACATGGCAAAACCCTGTCTCTATGAAAACAAAAAAAAAAAAAATAGCCAGGCATGATGGGATATGCCTGTAGTCCCAGCTTCTCAGGAGGCTGAGGTGGGAGAATCGCCTAAACCTGATAAGTCAAAGTTACAGTGAGTCGTATTCATGCCACTGAATCAAGACATTTCAAGAAAGCATGAAAAATCAAGTATTTTAAGTAAGGGTTGGGTATTAGGGAGAGTTAACTACCCCTCCCCCAAGGAATTTCCATTTATTTTCTGTTTCCTCTCTTCCATTTCAGCTACTTCAGCAATCCTTACGGCTAAGCAGTTTTTATCTCCAGAATATTACCAAATCCCAATCCTAGTGAAGGACAGCTATAACAGAGCATGTGAATCAGCACAGATCGTGCAGTTGTATGCCTGCGATTGCGATGACAACCACATGTGCCTGGACTCTAGTACTGCAGGCATCTACACAGATGACATAACTGGTGACACGTATGGGCCTGTCACTGAAGACCAAGCTGGAGTTTCAAATGTTGGTCTCGGACCAGCAGGGATCGGCATGATGGTTCTGGGCATCCTGCTACTGCTTTGTAAGTACTCAATTACATCCTTCTTTTCAACAGTTCTTCAAAATAGGACTGTAAAGAGGCTTGCTGGGATAGTTAGGTTCATGTCGCCATTTCTTTTTGGTATCTCTAGCAATTTTTGAGTGCCTTAGAAATAAACAATGGGACTGACAAGGATATGTGCTTAATCCACATGATAACTAAGAAAGCCTAGGGTGAGTGTGAGCCCTAAAGATGATAAACACACACAAATCACTAAGTATATTACATAAAAACACAAAATAAATCCCATCATGGAAATTTCCTTAAAATGCTTTAAAAGTAGGGAGGAATTAAGTCGAAGTTGGAAAGTTAGGGCAATCTTTTTGGAAAAGCAGATTTTGAGGTGTGCCCTGAAAGCTGAGGATTTTTTTTAAAGGAGGATGGTGTCTGGGAAATTTTGAAAGATAATCAAAAGCAAATGAACAATACATATAAAAGGGGGCAAGATATGGAAGGGCATAGCACACCCAGGAAGCAGAGATGCTGAAAGAGAGGCATGTTCATGATGCACCAAGAGCTCTGGACTCCAGTTCTGTGGCACAGAAGAGTTGATGAGGGCTTGTGAGCACAGGTGGAAGCTGGCAAAACAGACTAGAACAGAGAATTAGTCTCTGGGCTCTGGGTGAGTGGCTGAACTAAGCCTATTGTCACAGAAATGGCAAGATCCCAAAACAAAAATTTCCAAGGAAGGGCCCTCCTTTGCCCATAGTATTTTTTTTAACATATAGATCCTCAGAGGAAAGATACTTCGTACATTTTAGGTTGCCCTTGCAATACTTAGGTTTCATGGGGATCAAAAGCTGGGTTGTAAAATTAAAGAGAGTTAAATTTGTCAAACTGTATTGTTATTATGTTTTCAGGGATGAGCACTAATTAACACGGAATCATTTCAAGGCATAAAAAATAACAGCTGACTTTTGGGCAGGATTTCTTTCTTGAAATAATCTGTGACTTTTCAAAGCTATGCAAAGATCATGAGTGATTCTCACAATGATATTAGACATATTTTCCCAGAATATAACTCTATAGCAGTTGAGTAGTGGTGTCAGGTAAGCTTTGAGTTAGTGGTTCTCAATCCTAGCTGCACATAAGAATCAGTTAAAGATCTTTCAAAACTACTCATGCTTGGGTCATACTCAAGATGAGACCAAGCATCAGCATGTTCAAGCCCTTTGGTGAGACTAATGTGCAGTTCAAGGTTAAAAATCCAATGCCAGCTGCATTTCCAGAAGGTTAGCACTAAGAATTTCAAGACTTTACCTGACCCAGTCAAAGAAAGCATGAGAGCTGTTCAACTGATTGATTGTGGAACAGGAGAGGAATACCCCTGTGGACACTTGTTTTCAGCGAAGAAGCCCATGGTCTATTTTAGGAGAGGGGGTTAGTGTGATGGTAGTGAGAGGGATCTGAGCCCAAACCTATGTTTCCAAAGGCCCTCAGATTGACATTTTTGATGTTAACTTCTAATGCCATTATACATACAGTAATTGTACTGGGTATGTGCTAAAAATACTTCATTTATTACTGCCTTTGTTAGAGTTCATGCCTGCAATGGTACATGACCCAGCTCACATTTAAATTCATAGAAATATAGAATAGGTGGAACCATGGCCTAGGGGCTACCAACTCTAGTTTTAGTCCTTTTCCAGAAAACTTTCTGGAAATGTGTAACTTGACCTTTCACTGTTCATAGCGCAAATGGCAAAATTGTCAGCTTAACTGTTGTAATAAGATTAAAGCTGATTTTGTGGCTTTTATATTCTCTTCTTTTTTATCTTTTTCTAATTTTTAATTTTTGTGGGCACATAATAGGTGTGTGTATTTATGGGGTACATGGTTGATACAGGCATGCAATGTGAAATAATCACATCCTGGAGAACGGGGCATCCATCCCCTCAAGCTTTTATCCTTCTGTTCTTTTTCTTTTATTAACCTGCTCAACAAAGCACATGCTGTGCTAGAGAATTAGGAAAGTGTGAAGAGCAACTGGAGTGGGCCAAAAGAACTAAACAGAGTGTTCTAGAATCTTAGAAAACTTAAGCAGTATGAATATTTATGGATTAAAATATAGAATTGAGGTGATTATTAGGGTAAAAAATAGGAAATTTCCTCATAGAAGAAACACTTGGATAGCTAAAAAATTTTTATAGCTTTAATTTTTCATTATATTTTTAGACAAAGTCTTAAAATAATTATAAATATCTCCATTAAATTTAGTGAGAATTATTTGACTTCCATTTTAAGTGTAACTGTAATAAGGATTGAAGATAGGTCATATCTCCAGGTCCTATAGCTGAATCCTATATTCAGCCCTCTTAATAACATATAGTGATGATGTGTTTAACTTACATGTGTGTGTATTGTGTCTGTCTAGTGTTTATATGAGTTTCTATATGAATATGCAAATACATATCCACAGAAATGTTCTAAGTGTACACATATACAAATGTATGTACCCACACATAAATGTGTGCACATGAAGCTATACAGACTTATGCATGTGTATGCATATGTATACAGAGGTTTACAAATACATATGCACAGACAGTTGTACGTGTGCATATACGTATATCAATATGCTGCATGTACATGGGACACTGGAAAACAGGAAACTATTTGAAGCCTGGATCTGCCCCAACCAGCTCAGGAGTCTTAGACTAAAGACTGGACCTTAATTTCCTAATCTGTCAGTAAAGAATTTCAATTACCTGATCTCAAACTCCTTGCCATCTAACTCTAAAGTTCTATGTGATTTGGTGGTGTTGTATTTATAAACTTGGATATGTATACTCAATCCTCCAAAGGAAAAAAATACCTTCTTACATACATTTGTATTTTTTTGTTCTAAATATAATGTCACCAAATGCCCCCTCCCCCCCAAAAATGATTCATTCAGTGACTTCCTAAACTGAGCAATTTGTGTTAACTACTCATTATCACTTTCCTGGGCAGCGGCTCCACTCTTGCTGCTCCTTTGTTGCTGCAAGCGGAGACAGCCAGAAGGCCTGGGGACAAGGTTTGCTCCTGTGCCTGAGGGCGGAGAAGGAGTGATGCAGTCTTGGGGAATTGAAGGGGCCCATCCCGAGGACAGGGTGAGTGGACTGTCGCTTTCCAGAGAAGTGTAGAGTTTCAATGGAAATTGAGCATGTCTTAACAATTACATGCTGCACAAAAAATGAACAGATGTCCATTTTTAAATGTTTAACATAAAGTGTTTGTTTTTAAAATCTTTGTCTTTTTAGGATGTGTCAAATATATGTGCACCCATGACAGCCTCAAATACCCAGGATCGTATGGATTCCTCTGGTCAGTAGACACCAAAATCTGTTTGTCTTTTTAAATTTTTCACAACTATTCAACCAGACAAACTTCATGTAAAAGTACCTTATGGAAAATTCTGTCAGTCTCTTTGGGTGATAGTATAATCAGAAGGCATGTGACCTGTTTGAAGTAGCCACTTAATTTTTCTATCTGAAACTACAGGCAGTGAAGAATGACCCAGGAGCTAAAACAGCAAATTCTGGAAGCAGAACGCTTGAGTTCGATTCCCAGCTCTGCCACTTGCTTAAGGATTGCATATCTTTTATCTGAAATGCATAGGACCATGAAACTTTTTGTGTCATGGTGATCAAAAAATTGCAGACTTAGGAGCATTTTGGATTCTTGATTATTCGATTTGGGATACTCAACCTGTAGTAATAAGTCCTTAGTCAAGATATTTAACTGTACTGGGCCTCAGTTCCCTGTCTTTGAAATTGAGCTTATGATAGTACCTACTTTAAAGTGTTGCTGTGAGGAGTAAATGCGTAGTTATGTATGTGTGTAAATATGTACATATTATATGTAATACATAAGACATACATATATTGTATATTTTATTATATATAACATCCATGTATATGTTATGTTATATATACATGTATATGTTATAATATATATACACATATATACATGTATGTTATATATAATAAAATAATCTATACAATATATGTATGTATTATGCAGATATACACACTCATACATATGTTATGTACACACATATGCATGTGTGTATATGTGCATATATCACAAAATATACATTAGAATAGTACCTAGCACAGAGTACATGCTACTGTAGTAATTATTTATAAGCTTTTTTAAAAAAAGAGCTAAAGAAAAGGCAGTAAATGAACTCTAATCATACAGTGAATAACTTTTCTTATATTCAGACAAGCTTTTGCCTCAGGAGAGTGTCTTAAACTCTCCTATCTTACCAGCCCCATGCTCATCTAAGAATACTGAACACTATCTGGCAATGATTGCACCAAATAGAGAGGGTGCTTAATTCTGCAGTGGACGTGAGCTTTCTCTGATGGTTCCTTAGCATCCCAAGCTTGACCCTTTGCGTGCAAAGAAGCTCGGTGACTGAAGCATTCCCGTGAGCCCAGCTCCATCCTGTTCCAGGATGAAGGAGGACTGAGCTCAATTTCTGCAATCACGCCACTGGCCTTGCTTTGGAGGGCTCCTGGGTGGGTCAAGCCTGCAGCAGCCACGGCGGGAACAGGCGCCTACTTGCAGCTCCTCTTGGCAAGTTCTACACTTTAAGTCCAGGGCAAAGTCTGTGCAAACGTGAGAAAGCCACGTCCCACTGCTGACTCCCTCTGTGTCATTAATTTCCTTTTTTTTTTTTTTTTTGGTCAACAAGCCTGGAGATTATGGGTGTAACTCGTATCGCTCGTGGTCAGCTTTCCAGCGCCTACGCCTTGCTGGGTGGAGGTGACACCTCACCTAGCAGCGGCAGCGTTTTAGGTGGGTGCGCGCTGCGGGCAGCTTGAGCGCTGTTACAACAACGCCCTCCCTTTTCAGAAATCTACACAAACACTTATGCAGCCGGGGGTACGGTGGAAGGGGGTGTATCAGGAGTGGAACTCAACACAGGGCTGGGGACAGCTGCTGGCCTCGTCGCCGGAGGGGCCGCAGGGGCCACGAGGAAGAGGAGTTTTACCGTGGGAACCCTCAGGGACTACGCCGACTCCGACGTCAACATGGCTTTCTTGGACAGCTACTTCTCGGAGGTAATGCTCTCACCGCTACACACAAAATCGTCTTGAGACTGAATAATAATGATAGTAAAATACTCACAATGGCAGTAGGCCTCTTCTGAAATATATTGTTATTCTCAACCCTATCCCAAACCTGAATAAAATATATTTCACTACTCCTTAAAACACAAAATGCTAATTTGCATCAGGATTTCATATTCAACTGCCATAGCGCATCTTAGTACTGTGAACAAGGCCACGCCCCTCATCATTCTCCACTTCCCTTTTCCATTTTTCTGTCTCGTTTCCTTGATTCCTCACCTTGTTTCCCATACCACAAGCAAAGCAGGAAAATGCTCATCAAGGGGAAAAAAAATGTGCATTTATGACCTCTCTTTTTGATGTCCTTCATGTTCTCCTGGAGCCTCCAACAGAAAAAAGAAAACAAAAAGACAGAATTGGGAACAAAAGGAGTTAAAACTCAGGAACACAGCATCACCACAACATGTGCTAGATTAAGGCCTAAAAGATAGGTCTCCCATTCTCAGTCCAGTGACTTATCTACTAAATTCCCTACACTAAGAAAACGGGTCCAGCAATAGCACTGCTGGGCGTATATCCAAAAGAAAGGAAATCAGTGTATCAAAGAAATACATGCACCCCCATGTTTATTGCAGCACTAGTCATGCAGCCAATACATAGAATCAATCTGTGTCCATCAACGGATGAATGGACTTTTAAAATGTGATGCATATACACAATGGACCATTACTCAGCCATAAAAAATGAAATTTTGTCATTTGCAATAGCATGGATGGAACTGGAGGACATTAGGTTAAGTGAAATAAGCCAGGCACAGAAAGACTACCTTGACATGTTCCCACTTATTTGTGGAAGCTAAAAGAAAAAACCGAACTCTTGGAGATAGAGAGTAGAATAATGGTTACTTGAGGCTGACAAGGATGGCAGGGAGGGAAAGCAAAGTGGGGATGGTTAATAGGTACAAAAATACTGTTAGACAGGATGAATAAGTTCTAGTATTTGGTAGCACAACAGGAAGACTATAGTTAACAATAATTTGTTATACATTTTAAAAGAACAAAAATAGTAGAACTGTAATGTTCCTAAAACAAAGATATAATAAATGCTTGAAGTGATAGATACCCCAATGATGCTTATTTTTTCATTACACGTTGTATACCTGTATCGACACATCCCATGCTTCATAAATGTATGCAACTATTATGTATCTATAAAAAAAAGGTTATATGTATAGCAGCATTAAAAAAAAAAAAGCCCCGTAGACACTGAGTTAGCCTAATAGAGTAGCATAAAGAATAAATAAATCCTCCTTTGAATTCCTATCTGATGAGTTTACTTGACTTAAATAGCAATCCATTTTATCTCATATTTCAGTTAGCCTGCTTTATTCCCCATCTGATGATACATGTATTTCACCATTATTCTTTACAAAAAAAAAAATGCTGAAGATATTGCAATTGTAATCTATATCTCAAAATTGGTAGTTACAAATACTATCACAGAATGTGCATAAATAGTATCAATTTTTTAATAAGTGATTGATACCATTATTCAGTTTATACCATGACTTCCCTCAGAAGTCTCGCTGAGGGATTGCTGTTATTCTCCCTTCATTATTTTAGGGAAAAAGAAATGCCTAATTCTGCAATTTCTTCTAATTTTAGAAAGCATATGCTTATGCAGATGAGGATGAAGGTCGACCAGCCAATGACTGCTTGCTCATTTACGACCATGAGGGAGTAGGGTCTCCCGTGGGCTCTATTGGTTGCTGCAGTTGGATTGTGGATGACTTAGACGAAAGCTGCATGGAAACTTTAGATCCAAAATTTAGGACTCTTGCTGAAATCTGCTTAGACACAGAAATCGAACCATTTCCTTCGCACCAGGCCTGTATACCAATCAGTACTGACCTCCCTTTGCTCGGACCGCATTACTTTGTTAGTGAATCTTCAGGATTGACTCCCTCAGAGGCTGAATTCCAAGAAGAAATGGCAGCATCTGAACCTGTGATTCATGGGGATATTATTGTGACTGAGACTTATGGTGCTGCTGATCAATGTGTGCAACCCACTACAATTATTTTTGATCCTCAGCTTGCGCCCAATGTTGTAGTAACAGAAACATTAATGGCACCTGTCTATGATATTCAAGGGAATATTTGTGTACCTGCTGAGTTGGCAGATTACAACAATGTCATCTATGCTGAGAGAGTACTGGCTAGTCCTGGTGTGCCTGACATGAGCAATAGTAGCACAACTGATGGTTGTATGGGACCTGTGATGAGTGGCAGTGTTTTAGTAGGGCCAGAAATTCAAGTGATGCAAATGATGAGTCCAGACATTCCCATAAGCCAAACCATTGGTTCCACATCCCCAATGACACCTCGACACAGAGTTACACGATACAGTAACATACATTACACCCAACAGTAAGTGCTTTATGATCAGAATTCTATATGGGGCCCTTGCATCTTGCAATCACCAATGCATCCGCCAAAGATATATAAGGTACCATATATATTGACAGTCAACAAATATTCACATATTCTAAGGTCAATGTCATTATCTGATTATAACATTTTGAAGGTGAATATGGCTAAGCACTTTAGATAAGCCTTTTTTTAAATTCTTTCTGATTTTAAATAATGCGTCAGAAATTGTACAGAAAATGTATTGCATCCTTTGATACTGTCTAATGAATAGCACATAACTCATATTGTAAATCCTATCGGTTCTGAGGCCTGTAGCACCCATCTTGCAAACCAAGATGCCTTGTTCTTGGAAGTTGCAAAAGAAGGCTTGTCTACATCCACCAGCCATACTTTTTAGAGAAATATTTATATTAAAATGTTTAGTTGAAACATTGTATGAAATGTACATTACTGAAAGGAAATTGAAAAGGAATGTAGAGTATCTGTCAGTATCTTCAGATGTCTGAAGTCATTTGTCTCTTCAAAAGATTTTTCAAGATAATGCTCTATTAAGCAATAGGCATGTTTAAATTAATTTTAAAAAAGAGTTTGCAAACTGAAAGCATCACTGGAAATGGTTCATCAATGAAAAAAATATATTTTTATTGATTTATATGATTAGCTGTAAATTAATGTAGAATAGCAAAAAAAAAAAAAACTTATGACAATCCTAAAGTAGAAAGAGTTATTAGGGGGAAAATTAGAGTTTTTTCCACTTACAGGGAATTTTTTTCCTACTGTTGTCAATTATGTCAGAAAAATACATGAAATATGGCTTAATCAATTTCATTGATCTGAATCATAAAACTTTCAATTGGCAACCAGATATTCTCCAAAAGCACTCTGTTATTATTCATATATTCAGCAATGTTTACTTAAAAGCAGCTAGGTGTTGAGTGCTAGTCTTGGCTCTGTGAATATACAGGTGAAGAAGACAGACATGGTTTCTGCCTTCGTAGAGCTTCTGTTCATTTCTAGGCTTAAAATAAAACTCTGGGATATGTCTTTAAGTTCCTAACAAGAGTAATTAACAAACTATTTAAGTCCATTACCAACTTGTGTTCCTCTTTGCAACACTACTGTTTTTTTGTTTTTTTTTGTTTTTTTTTTTTTTTGAGACGGAGTTTCGCTCTTGTTACCCAGGCTGGAGTGCAGTGGCACGATCTCGGCTCACCGCAACCTCCGCCTCCCGGGTTCAGGCAATTCTCCTGCCTCAGCCTCCTGAGTAGCTGGGATTACAGGCACGCGCCACTATGCCCAGCTAACTTTTTGTATTTTCAGTAGAGACAGGGTTTCACCTTGTTGACCAGGATGGTCTTGATCTCTTGACCTCGTGATCCACCCGCCTCGGCCTCCCAAAGTGCTGGGATTACAGGCTTGAGCCACCGTGCCCGGCCAACACTACTGTTTATGTTGAATAAATAAAATGGAAACACACACATAATTTGCTTACTTTTAGGAGGAATAAATCTGACTTGAGAAAAAGACACTCTAGAAAGGTAATTTTACTTAATTCTGTAAAATATGTATACAGCAGCAGTGATAATGTGACTGAGAAATAATGTAAATGAAATAAACTTATTTTCAAGGCTTAATCCTTTTGAAAGGAGATCATTGTAGTGCTTCTTGCCTATCTTTTGTTCCTTTATGAATAAAACTATTACAGAATTTGAGGCATCTCAGATAACCTCTTACCCACTTCTCTAAGTTTCTAGACAAGGAATCTAGAAATAAAGTTTAAATGATCACAACCAGCTAGTTGTGATACAAAGCCTCGAACCTATCATTCAGACACCCTAGCCTTTATTGCTTTTTAATGCTGTAACTTCATCAGATATAAAGAGGATCCAAATTGGTCTGCTGCATGATCTTTGCTATTCCCTAACTGGAAGAAAAATTTTCTCTCAAAAAATTACGTTTTATGATGTGCAAGCACAGAGCAGCTCAAACATTGTAATGCTAGAAGATTATTAACATATTTCCTAATATTTTCCAAATTACATGTACTGCCAGTGGCTACATCCATTTTTTACTTTAGAAAATTTGACTACTCTAAAATTCATGAACTCCATGGGGTAGCTAAGGAGCATTTGTCTCATAGTGTTTTAACACTCAAGCAACAACGAGCCACATAGCATCTGGTACACATTCCATTCTGTGGCAAATCCTGACACAGACATTTTTCTCTTAAAAGTTTGTATTGAATGGCTTTTGTTAAAAAGTCTAAAACTAACATGTTAGTGAGACTGCAGAGAAAAGGGGACACTGATACAATGTTGGTGGGAATGACAATTAGTCCAGCCACTGTGGAAAACAGTTCAAAGAATTCTCAAGGAACCGGGAGTTGAATAGCCATTTGACCCAGCAATCCCATTACTGGGTATAATAAACCCAAAGAAAAACAAACTGTTCTACCAACAGGACACGTGTACCCATATGTCCATTGAAGTGGTATTCACAATAGCAAAAACATGGAATCATCCCAGGTGCCCATCAACAGTGAACTAGATGAAGAAAATGTGCTCCAGAGATACCATGGAATACTAGGCAGCCATAAAAAAGAATAAAGAATGAAATCTTGTCCTTTGCAGCAACACGGATGCAGCTGAAGGCCATTATGCTAAGCAAGTTAATGAAAGAACAGAAAACCAAGCACTACACGTTCTCACTTGCAAGTAGGAACAAACTTTGAGTTCACGTGAACATAAAGATGGAAACAATAGACACTGGGGGTCATTAGAGGAAGGAAAGAGGGAGAGGAGCAGGGCTGAAAAGCTGTCTATTGGGTACTATACTCACTACCTGAGTGACAAGTTTGGTCATATCTTAAACCTCAGCATCACGCTATACACCTTGGTAACAATCCTGCACATGTATTTCTTGATTCTAAAATAAAAATTGAAAAAGCAAAATAACAAAATAAAAATTTTAAAAACAGGTGTCTTTTTTATATAATGATTTCTGTTCTTTTGGGTAGATGCCCATTGGTGGGATTGCAGGTTGAATCATGGTTCTATTTTTAGTTCTTCACGAAATCTCCATACAGTTTGAATTTTTTAAATTACAAATGAATAGGATCATACTCTTGGTTTATAGAAATACATGTTGTTATTAGAGAAATTTGGTGAGTGTATTTTAAATTACTGTTATTTAACATTTAAAATACATTAAAAATTATTTTAAAATGAACATAAGTTTTCTCTTCTAGAATATAGTGATTATTTTCAATTTGGCTCAATTTTTTTATATTTTAAACTGACCAAAAAAGTGGAAATTAAACTGCAAAAATAGAGTCTGCATTTTATTAGGCCAATAATTCTAAGAATTATGAAATAATTAGTGAAAATACTATGAGATTAAGAAATGAAGAATAATACCGAGCATTTAACTAATAGATTACTTTTTTTTTTTTTTTTGGAGAAAAACAGTCTCGCTCTGTGGCCCAGGCTGGAGTGCAGTGGCATAATATCAGCTCACTGCAAGCTCCACCTCTGGGGTTCAAACGATTCTCCTGTCTCAGCCTCATGGCTAGTTGGGATTATAGGTGTGTGCCACTACACACAGCTAATTTTTGTATTTTTAGAAGAGACGGTTTCTACTAAACTAGGCTGGTCTCGAACTCCTGACCTCAAATGATCCACCCACCTCAGCCTCTCAAAGTGCTGTGATTACAGGTGTAAGTCACCAACGCACAGCCAGAAATCATTTTTGTTAGCACTTAAGTGGGTAGCAAAATTAAAATTCAAACCCAGGACTAACTCCAAAAATCTTACTCCTACTCACCAAATTCCTTTGATTTAATTCTGGAAGGATATGTGAGAGGCAGCCTGTAGAAAGATCTTAAATCCTATTAGGAGGCTGGATTTAACTAGGTGGGAAATGGCGAACCAGTGAAATTTTTGTGCCAGCCAGTGAGCAGGCCCAATTTTATGAGGATGGCCCTCAGGAATCCTCATGATAGGCTGTCTGTGTTCTGTTGAGACACCCACGTGGCTCATTCACTGAGGCAGAGAGCCTAGCATCTGTTGCTGTGGAAGTCAGGATCATCTGATAAGTCAACATTCCAAGCCTAGGAAATCCTTTAGGTCACCCTTGAAGAGAGCAGGTCCGTGATGTTTCCAAAGTGACTCCAATTAATCATCTTACTTGTTAGTCAAAGTATTTGCACATTGAATGCCCTTCCCGTTTTTATCACTTTAAGTGAGGTGTTTGAACTAATTGTCGTCCCTGGAACAGGACCTGCTTTCTCATACCCCTGTCACTCTGCTCCACCCTAGTTTCTTAATCTGGAGCCCTCTCCACGCCCCTCATCTGTTTAGCTTTTCCTTACTCACCTCAAGCATGGCGGCTTCTCAGAAGCATTTCTTGTTATCTCTTCCAGCACTAACAGTCTCTCTCGTATTAGGTTGATATATTATTAGGTATGCTGATAATTCTACTGCTATAGCTAGCTCTCCTTTATTTCCTTCAGAAATTACCAAACTACTTCCCTGTGCCTGCTAGCCTGTGAGCCCCTTGAGAATAAGTACAATGCATTTCTCTCTCCTGTATCTGTGGTCCTAGAATGTCTAGTATATAACATGCATTCATTTAATTTTAGAAATGAAAAACATAGTCAAGTTCTCTCAAGCACCTGAAAGTAAGTATCTGCAGTTCAACACTGTCGCCTCTAGATAGCAGCCTTCTGAATGATCTCCAAGAAACTTAAGAAGATGCAAGCATGTTAACTAACTGGACAATTACATTTCAGGAGTAATCAATCTTTTGCAGAAAGAATACTAAATAAAGTTATGGAAAATAACTTCACTGGCTTTTTGAAAGAAATTGTGGTATAGATGGATAAATGAAATTCTAAAAATGCTACAGAGAAAGTGATTCTAGGAAATGTAGTTCCACAGAGACCTTCAAAGTGGGTGCTGGTAGAGCAAAATTGGCAATTGTCAATCCAGCACAGATACCCAACACAGTCAGGTTTTAAAGCAGTGACAGCAGATTTGCTTTGCCTACAATTAGCCAAACAAGGGTATTAGAATGTGAATTTAGTGCCAAGATTTTGTCACTGCATTTTTTCCAGTATACTTTTCTGAAACTTGATTTTCTCACATCATCAAGATCGTGCTGTGTCAGCACGTTTATCAACCTCATTCATTGAAAAACCTGCATAATATTTATAAATTTGCACCACATATTTTTAACCATTCTCTTATTACCAGAAAATTAGGTTGATTACAGTTTTTGCTACTATACACAATGCTACAATGAACATTTACTGTATCTAATATAGATGTACGTATATGAACACACACATGGAAGCTGAAATATTTCTACAGGATAGACTCTTTAAAGAAGGATGCCATATCAAAGCATATGGACAAATGATTTTTATAGAATTTTCCCAAATTTTTCTGTCAACAATAATGTCCATTTACACTTCTGCCAGCTGTTCTTGATAGGGCTTGCTTAGCCATAGACTTAAAAATAATTGATGTTATTGATTTTTAATGTTTGATAATCTAATAAAGATTATAATTACTTGATATTCTCATCATTATACAGAATTTGGCATTCAGTAAATATTAGTTGACAATAAAGGAATAAATATTATAAATTACCATAGATACGTAAATACATTTCTAGTCTCTCTTCTATTAGACAGATACATTATTAAGTATGCTGATAATTCTGACTATTGTTACAGCTGTACAATACTGTGTGTTTTACTATCTAGCAGGTACAATCCCACCCATTGCCTCTTTTTTTATTATTATTATCTTGGCACTTCTAATTCATTTAAGTTAAAAAATAATTTGAAGGATATATGTTTAGAATTAATTAAAATTATATTGAATTAATACATTAATAACTTTGAGACCTTCAAAACTCCAGCATTAATTTGTATCTTTGCCTTTTCCATGATGGCATTTACACAGGATAAATACTTTGGAAGAATGGTAAAAGTTCTGGAAATTTGCTTATCATTGACAGAGGCCATTGATAGTAAGATTGCTTTCTTATAGCCATTAGTTGATTAATAGTTTTTATTTTCTTTCAAAGTTATTTCTTATGTATAAATTTAGTAACAAAAAATTTATA